AGCAGTCAGAATGATACCACAACTCTTTTCTTGACTGCTTGTAACTGTTCCGTTTACCTGAGTGAAAATAAAATGGTGGAAAAATAAAATAATATCAGATGCAGTCACTGAACAGACAGTAGGAGCCTGGGGTCCTATAGGGGGTGTGATGGAGCTGGCTGTGATGGGCAAAGAAGCCCAGGATTGAATGGTCACAGAGCCTGAATAAGCTGCTCATCTTCAGATGAGTAAGGCATCTGGCATCTGGGGGTGGGGGTGAAGAGGGGAATGGAAACATCCTCTCCAAGGCTGCAGACATAAAGGGTACAAGAAAACATTCTAAGCATTAGAAGCAAGAGGAAAGCGAAGGATAGAGTAGGCCCATTACCCACTGAGGAGGGAAAGACAACAGAAAATACAATAATGATCAAAGCATTAACTGCCTTTTTTGTTTCAGTTTTTGCCAAAAAGGTCAGCAATGATCTGACAACTAACATAGTGAACATCAGTGTAAATGGGGTAGGGTATGAGGCTAAACTAGGGAAAGAACAAGTTAAAAATTACTAGACAAGTTAGATGTCTTCAAGTCAGCAGGGCCTGATGAAATGCATCCTAGAATACTTAAAGACTTGGCTGAAGAGATCTCTGAGCCATTAGTGATTATCTTTGAGAACTTTTGAGGATTGGGGAGACCCCAGAGGACTGGAAAATGGCAAATATAATGGCATCTATAAAAAGGGGAATAAGGACAACCCAGGGAATTATAGACCAGTCAGTTTAACTTCAGTTCCCGAAAAGATAATGGAGCAAATAATCAATTTGTAAGCACCTAGAAGATAAGGTGATAAAAAAGAGTCGGCATAGATTTGTCCAGAAAAAATCATGTCAAACCAGCCTAATATCCTTTTTTGACAGGGTAACAAGCCTTTTGGATAGTGGACAAGCAGTAGTTGTGATATATCTCAACTTTAAGAAGGCTTTTGATACTGTTTCACAGGACCTTCTCATAAACAAACTAGAAAAATACAGCCTTGATGAACCTACTATAAGATGGATGCATAACTTGTTGCAAAACCATAATCAGACAGTAGTTATCAATGGTTCACAGTGAAGCTATAAAGGCATATAAAGTGGGGTCCCACAGGGATCTGTCCTGGGTCTGGTTCTATTCAATATCTTCATCAGTGATTTGGATAATGGCATAGAAAGTACACTTACAGAGTTTGCGGATGATACCAAGCTGGGAGGAGCAAGTGCTTTGGGGACAGAATTAAAATTCAAAATGATCTTGAAAAACTGAAGAAATGGTCTGTAATAAATAAGATCAAATTCAATAGGAGAAATGCAAATTACTACACTCAGGAAGGAACAAACAGTTGCACACATACATAAAATGGGAAATGACTGCCTAGGAAAGAGTACTGCATAGAAGAATCTGGGGGTTATAATGGACCACAAACTAAATATAAGTTAACCATATAAGACTGTTGCAAAAAAGGGAACATCATTCTGGGATGTTTTAGCAGAAGTGTTGTAAGCAAGACATGAAGAGTAATTCTTCCACTCTAGTCTGTACTGATAAGACCTCAGCTGGAGTATTGTGTTCAGTTCTGGGCACCCCACTTTGAGAAAGATGTGGACAAATTGGACAAAGTTCAGAGGAGAGCAACAAAAATGATTAAAGGTCTAGAACAGGGTTTCTCAAACTGGGGGTTGTGACCCTGCAGGGGGTTGCGAGGTTATTACGTGGGGGTCATGAGCTGTCAGCCTCCACCCCCAAACCTCACTTTGCCTCCAGCATAATAGTGCTTAATATAAAAAAATGTGGTTTTAATTTATAAAGGGGGTCACACTCAGAGGCTTGCTATGTGAAAGGGCTCACCAATACAAACGTTTGAGAACCACTAGAAAACATGACTTATGAGGAAAGATTGAAATAATTAGGTTTGTTTAGTTTGGAGAGAAGACTTAGGGAACACATGATAACAGTCGTCAGTACTGTATGTGAAAGGTTGTTATAAAGTGGAGGGTGATAAATTGTTCTCCTTACGCATTGAGGACAGGACAAGAAGTACTGGGCTTAAATTGCAGCAAGAGAGATTTAGGTTAGACATTAGGAAAACTTCCTAGCTGCCACATTAATTAAGCACTGAAACAAATTGCCTAGGCTAGGCGGGTTGTGGAATCTCTGTCACTGGAAGTTTTAAAGATTAGGGCAGACAAACACCAGATGATGATCTAGATAATACTTAGTCCTGCCTTAGTGCAGGGGAGTGAACTAGATGACCTCTCAAATTCCCTTCAAGTCCTACATTTCTATGATGAATCAGGTGATAATTCATCACTTCCAGACTGAGTTTTTTTTCTACTACTTCTTCTTCCTCTTTATACTAAAATTTCCCCCCTGAAACCTTTCCCAATCAATTCCTTCCCCACTTTGGTGCTTTCTCCCTCTATATACTTGTAGACGGTTAATGCACAATAACCAAATTCTGTGCTCAACTACACCCCTCCTCCTTCTGTGCTTGCTCCAGCAGCCTCTCCCTTAGTGTCTTCTCCTTCACTTTCTCCCCTTCTAACCATTTCATTCATGGATCCATCACTGGTCTCATTCTCTTCTCAATCTACACCCTACCCCATAGATGACCTCATCAACCCAAATGGCTTCACATGTTGTCTTTGCTATGTTGGTTCAAAAAATATACCCTCCATTCAATTCCACCTCTCTCCATTTGACCCAGAGCTGCCCCAGTGAAACCCTCTTCTGCTCCCTTCTATATCATTGACAACTATTTCACCATCCTCTCAGCCACTTAGGCTTGCAACCTTTGTGTCATATTTGACCCCTCTGTCTCTCTCTCTTCTTTATCCTCACATCCAGGTGCCCACCCAACACTGCCAGTCCTTTCCTCCCTCTCTCTCCATCCCTACTGCCAATTCTTCAGCCCATGCCTTGGTCATCTCTCTCTAATCTTGACTGTTGCACCTACCCCTCTGTAACATCTCCAGGTTTCATATTATGCCCTCAAATCCATCCAGCTTGCTGCTGCCATTTCTTCTCCTGATCCCTCCCCACCTGAGTCTCTTCATTGGCTTTTGTTCTTCTTCTGTGTCAGATTCAAAACACTCACCACACCTTCAAGGCCCTTCAGAGCTTTGACCCATCTCATCTATAGTTGCCTCCTACTCCTGTGTTCACCCACTTCAGCTTATCTCATCACTCTTCCACAAGCAACTCTGCACCTTTTCTCACTATGCCCTTGATACCTGGAATATCCTCCTCGACCATGTGCTCCTGCCTCAAATCACTCCTGAAAACTCATTCCTTTCAGTCAGTCTTCCACCATTGCCCTCTCTCCTGACTGTCTCTAATTTGTGATATTATGGTGGGGCAGTAATGAAGCCATAGTCGAGGTTGCATCAGAAATTTGTGTTTAATGGGAAGAGAATAGGAATATCTGCTAGATATTTTACTATACAAAAAAACTGGAACACACAAAATAGAGCGTAGCAGGCTTTTAATTTTCTATCTAAATGGAATCTGTAAGAGAGTAACTGAATTTAACAATATTTTGGATATAGAAATGGGTGTGTTTTGTTATTGGAGCCCTGGTGTCTCACTTTTGCAAGAGTACACATGAAAGAATCTAGAATAAACTTCCCATACAGATACCCTTCCCGTGTCTATCTATAGTTTACGCAAATACCATTTATATATTTTTCCATTTTGGAATTTCAGAGAAAAATATTTTTTGTTTCATAACTGATGTGTGCTCTGCCAATTTGAAAGCACTGCAGTAAAGATATGACAGTGTGTATTAGCCAGCAACCTATGTTGCTAGACATATCTATCTATATATGTATATCTATACACGGAAGAAGATTCATCATATGCCAGTGACACTGTAGATTCTAATGTGAACATTGACTTCAGCTTTGCTAATCTGGAAGTGCCACATTAATTGAGGAGGACACTCTTTACCACATATTGCCCTACTATGTCTTTCATGTGTGACAACACATTTGCCAAGTTGCAGTGACTGCATTTAATTGAATGTCAACATTTCTCCATAGCTGATTACTCACTGCAGCCACTGTGTTCTGGAGTATGTTGGCATTGTTCTTTGTAAGGCAATGTATTTACTTTTTATTTTTGATGTCCAGTTTACACAGCTGCTTTTAAAAATAGGAAAATTCACACAGAAAAATCTTTGTTTTTTGTTAATTATGATTGTACTGTTTTACTTTAATAACAATTTCTTCACATGGTGAAAAGCTAGAAAATAAACCCTTTCAGGTCAACAACCGTACTTCTGTTTCTCTACTGACACCAACAGAAAACTTTACAACTCTTACCAATTTCTATCCTCCTTCCACCGCACATTGTTCACACCCATGGCTTCATAAACTACCAGTCAGCCTTAACTCCAACATGCATATAAGAAAGATGCATATGTTAAGTGTGCTTTTAACATATGCCTTTGCATTGAGATTTTCTTTGACGAAAAGAGAATTTTTAACTGGTGTGTCCTTCTTGTACAAACTGTCATACCCCCTGAACTCCGACATACACACATGGGAGAGTTTTTTCCCCTACCTACTGAATCCGAAGGATGGATGAATTGAACTTTGAAAAAAAAGTCTCGTTAAAACAGTAACTCTTGGAATATTTTTTTCACATTTCTTTCTATATAATCTGACTTGCTCTAATGCCCAAAATATAACTATGTTGTATAAAATCTATTTTGGAGATTCATCAGCTGTAAGGTTTTGATGACTGCACTTGGCAACAAGGTATGTGAGCAATTTACATATCGATACAAATCATAGCTTTGTTTAGTGACAGTTAAGGCTGCATCAAGACATACCCCACCCATCATCTTAGAACCTCAAAAGCATGGAAATAAGTTAACAGCAAGGTTTCCTGCATTTCTTTCCTCTTTCATGTTGTCTGTAACATACTCCAGTACTCCATAAGGCTTTTGCTTCCATCGCAAACAGATACTGAAAGCAATACATACCCCAGCTTCATCAAACTTGCATCCAACACAAAACCTTAACAGTGATCACAGCAACATTAAGGCAGAATAACTTCCCAAATGCATGGACTGTCCAAAAGTCAGAAGGGCTGATCTGTTGATACATGAAGGTCTGAGGTTACTGTTAAAGTTTAATGACACATTTTATTTTATTTTATTTTATTTTATTTTGGGCCTTAGAGGAAATCAGATTATCACCACAGACTTAGATGAAATATTTAGGCCCGTAGGGTGAAATGCTGGTTTTACTAAACTGAATGGCAAGATTCTTATTGACTTCAATAGGCCCTGGATTTCACCCTTATTGTTTCTGTGGGAACATTCTTAAAAGAAGGAGCTACACTTTTAAGTTATTGCTCTTTTTAGAGTTCTCAGAAAAAAGAAAACACTTTTAACATCTATCTTCCTCTTGTGTATAGAGTTGGGCAAAGTATTTCAAATGAAATCTTTTCACCAAAAAAAAAAAAAAAATGTAGATTTGGGCCAACCAAAACATTTAGTGAATTTGTGTCAAATCCACCAGATTGTTTTGGTCAAAAAGAAAACAAATTCTGAAAAAAATGAAACTTTTCATTACAATATTTTCCAAATGGAAGAGTTTGATTTTTCAAATAAAAACAACTTTTTGTTTTCAGTTTTACTTCAATTTTATTTTAGACATGTTTAAAAAAATCTCAAACACAAAATGAAATGTATCATTTTCGGTCAATTGAATTGTTTTATACAACTCTCCTTGTATGTGTGTTGGAGTTAAGGCTGTATAAATTACAAGAATTAGATGTTAAAAAATAATTTTTTTAGAGAGGATAAAAAAGAAGAAGCAAATAAATAAATTAAAAAAAAAAAAAAGAGAGAGAGAATGAATTTTCAGCCCTAAGGAAATGCCAATATGTTGACATTTCTTTTTATCCTGACTCAGGATGAATAGTCAAAATATTGAAACTTTGAGGAACAAAAAGTTCTGAAATATTTTGATTCAGAAATACCAAAGATTTCATTTTGACATTTTCAATTGAAACTGTTTTTTCGTAGATTTCAAGGCCAGAAGGGACTTTTGTGATCATCTAGTCCGACCTCTTGTATCACACTGTCCATAGAACTTCCCCAAACATATGTCCTTTAGAGAAACATCCAATCTTCATTTAAAAATGGTCAGTAATGGGGAATCCACCAGAACCCTTGGTAAATTGTTCCACTGGTTAATTATCCTCACTGTTAAAAATATATGCCTTATTTACACTCTGAGTTTGTCTAGTTTCATCTTCCAGCCTTGTTATACTTTTGTCTGCTAGATTGTAGAGCCCATTATTAAATGTTTGTTCCTCATGAAGATACTTATAGAATGTAACCAAGTCATTCCTTAACCTGCTCATTGTTAAGCTAAATAGGTTGAGCTCCTTGAGTCCGTCACTATAAGGCATGTTTTCCAATTCTTTAATCATTCTCTTGGCTCTTCTCTGAATCCCTTCAATTTATCAATATCTTTGTTGACACTGGAACTGGACACAGTATTTCAGCAGCAGTCTCACCAGTGCTAAATATGGAGGTAAAATCACCTCTCTACTCCTATTCAAGAGTCCCCTGTTTATGGACCCCAGGATTGCATTAGCTTTTTTGGCCACAGTGTTGTACTGAGAGCACATGTTCAAATCTTTTTCAGAGTCACTGCATCCCAGGATAGAGTCCCCCATTCTTTGTTCCTAGATGTATACATGTACATTTAGCCTTATTGAAACACATATTTGCTTGTGCCCAGTTTACCAAGCAATCCAGATTGCTCTGAATCAGTGACTTGTCCTCTTCATTATTTATCACTCCCCCCAATTTTTGTGTCATCTGCAAACTTGATCGGTGATGATTTTATGTTTTCTTCCAGGTCATTAATAAAAATTTTAAATAGCATAGCACCAAGAACTGATCCTGCAGGATCCCACTGGAAAAACACCTGTTCAATGATCCCTTTTTGAGACCTATCATTTAGCCAATTTTTAATTAATTTAATATGTGCCATATTAATTATATTGTTCAAGTTTATTAATCAAAATGTCATGCAGTACCAAGTTAAATGCCTCCCAAAATGTATGTATATTACATCAACGGTATTACCTTTATCACCTAAACTTGTAATCTCACAAGAAGTAATATCTAGTTTGACAGTTTCTATTTTCCATAAACTCATGTTGCTTGGCATTAACTTTATAATCCACCTTTCATAGGCTCTGACTCCGTGGGTGCTCTGAGGCTGGAGCACCCATGGGAAAACAACACTAGGGTGCTCAGCAGTCACCAGCGGCCCCGCCGATCAGCTCCTCCCCCTCTCTCCCAGCACCTCCTGCCCATTGCAGATCAGCTGTAGCGTGCAGGAGGTGCCGGGGGGAGGGGGTGGGAAGAGGTGGGGTGGGGTCTTGGGGAAAGAGGTGGAGTGGGGGTGAGGCCTGTGGCAGAGCTGGAATCGAGCACCCCTGGGAAAATTAGGAAGTTATCAGCTGCTCCATTATTTTGCCTGGAATTGAAGTCGGACTGACAGGCATATAATTAGACAGGTCATCCCATTTACACTTTTAAAATATTGGCACAACATTAGCTTTCTTCCAGTCTTCTGAAACTTCCCTGGCATTTCACTGACTTATTGAAAGTCATCATTAACGGTCCAGCAAGTTTCTCTGCCAACTCTTCTAAGACTCTTGGATGCAAGTTATCTGGCTCTGCTGATTTTACAATGTCCAATTTTAGTAGCTGCTGTTTAACATTCACCTGAGATATTAGTGGAATGGAAAGAGTTGTCATAGGATATGGCTGCATCATCTGTTTTTCCCTCAAAATACAGAACAGAAATGTTCAATAAACAGTCTGTTCTGCATTATTTTGATAACTACCATTTCCATCTAGTAAAGGTACAATATCATTGTTAGGATTCCCAATATATTTAAACTCCTTATAGTCCTTAACTCTGCTGGCCATAAATTTCTCCTTGTGTCCCTTTGCTTCTGTTATCAATTTTCTATAATTCCTAGTGTTAGAAGTGTTAGTGATTCCAGCCTATAGATTTGCCTGAGATAGAATTTTGGGTCTAGTTTGCCAGTTTGATTTTTTGATACACTTACATCCTTACTAATATGTGTGAACAACGATACTGTGTGTTGCTTCTGCCCAGCCAGATGGGTTTGTTAATATAATGAGAAAGATAAGGGATAGAGCAAAAGTGTTAATGGGTATGGTGGGAGTATAATATATGAGTGCACACTTGAAGATCGCCTTGACTCCTATCTCAAGGCAAGATCAAGCAACCAGTCGGGAGAGGCAAGGGGGATGGGAGGGGAAGGTATAAGAAACACTCAGGCCAAAGAAATACCTGTCCCCAACCAAAACACAACCTCATTCCTTACCCCTCCCATGGGATACAAAAATGGTGGGATGAAGCCCCCAGATGCACAACCCCCCAAAGTGGAACGTGACCATAAATTGTAAGAGGTGGAACCAAGGGTGTGAACTACAGGTATATTTATGCCTGCTAAGGGGGGGCGGTGGGGTGGGGGGAAGGACACTGGGGGGTCAGAGCTATGGATATGCTTGCTTGAAACTAACCCCAATAAACATCGCATTGCCTGCACTTCGGACTTCCCATCTTCTGCTTTCTGTCTGCGTGACAAGAACCGGGGGTGGGGAGGGAGGAGAAGGGGGGTGAAGGGAAAGCCCCCAACACCTAGTTTCTGATGAATATATATATATATATATATATATATTCATTACTTGCAACTTCCACTTTCATTTGTTTGTTTTATATTATTTTTTATAGCTGCCTTCACTTCCCCTCCAAACCAGGTAAATATTTTAACTAATATGACTTTCTTCCTCAAGTGTAGTATTGTGGCTTTTCAGGCATCTAATAAAGTGTTGTTAAACAATTCCCAATTTGCAGTTACATTTTCCTGATTGAGTTCTTACTCCCTGTGCATATGGCTCATAATTGCTTTGTGAAATTGGTTCTTTTAGCACCATATATATATATATATGTATTACTGGTTTTGACTTTATTCTGTTTGCATATTATGAATCTGATCAAGTCATGATCATTTGTATCTAAATTACCATTAATCTTTAATGCTGTGATCAATTCTTCATCGGTCAAGAAAATTTTTTTTATATAGAATTCCCTCATAGTGGATGCAAAACTGTTTGAGTTAGGAAATTGTCATCTATAATATTTAGATATTCCAAGACTTAGTCTTGGCAACATGAGACCTCTAGCATATGTCACTCAAGTTGAAGTCTACCTGATCATGCAGCTTTTTCCACCCCCCCCTACAGAGAGAGCTGCTTAAGGAGATGGTTACAGGATGACCTGTGTTCGTCACCAGCTGGGAGCAATTAACCACTCAGACTTCAAATAGCAGAGCTGATCATTGCAGTCTTTAACAAGGCACCAGCAAACAGAAAACTAAATGTTTAGCCATTGCTCAAATCAAAACCTTTTGATTTTCCCAATGGAAAATTCTCCCAAAATAGACTATCCTTAGTATCTGAGAGAGAACAGCACCCGCCACTGAGCCTCCAGCACCACTCCCTCCAGCTCTCACTGTGTTACTGCCTGTTTACCCATCCACGTAAGGCAGGGCTCAACTGGCTGGTTTGTGTGATCTCACTTGATTACCAGCCCCACCCAAGGTGAGGATCTCTTCAGTCTACACAGGAGTTTAAATCAGAGTCCAGGTCCCAGAAAGGAAGGGAATTGCACGTGGTGGAGAGTCATTTCTGCCCACTTTCATTCATACTGACCTGTCCCTGCCTGACCCTCTGAGACACAAGTTTTTTCCTTCAGATACCGGAGCAGCCAAGACAGTTTCTCTTGCTCTTCATGCTGTGTCCTAGTGTCCCAACGCCAGGTAACTACAGACACGGAGAGGAAGAAAACCAGAATTATAGCACTAGCCAGTGGGAGAGGGGGACCGGATCTGGAGGGTGAGAACAGACTCTTGGTCTGTCTCTTGCCAAGTGCCCCACAGGAAGGTGCATCCTCACATCTTGTGCCTCATTGTGCAGTATAATCCCAGACTGGATGAAAGGGGGATTCTACCTGACCTTCGCAGTGACCAGATCATGCCCTGAAACAGGTAGGCTAGTACCTCTATCCATGCTAGCAGCAGCACCAATGTTGCTGCTCCACATAAATGTATCCCATTCCTCTTTAAACCCTGGTATTGTATCTGACTCAATGACCCCCTGCAGCAGTGAGTTCCACCAGCTGTCAACATACCATGTGAATGTGCATTTCCTTTTCCTGGTTCTGAATATACCAGCCACTCATTTCACTGGGAACCTTTTTATTTTAGTAAGTTAGGGCTGAGGGAAAAAGCAGGACAAATCCTTTCATAACACCCCCCACAGGGAGAGGGACCAATCCCCCAGAGAGCCATACAATCCCTGCTTATTGCATTTTATTTGCTGTTCTTTCCAAGCCAGCTGAATAAGCAGCAGCCAGAACCCACCGAGGATGCTGGAGATGAAACAGACACTGAGGATCAGGATGGAGATCACAGGAACAACCCAGGTGCTCAGCCAGGGGCAGCCTCCCCTCTTCTCTGCAGGGGCTGAAATACACCAGGCAGCAATCACACAGACCAGAGCCAAAGGAGCAGGAGGGTCTGTTTCTAGCACAGTGCCTGCAGGCACTTGATAGGTTTTCCTCTTGTGTGCTCACAGGAGCCATCTCTTCTTCTCCCCCATTACTCTTTTGTCTTTCCTTTTCTTCTACCTCTCCTCTTCTCTCTCCTCACTGTCTGTTCCTTCACTGCTTCTATTCCATTTCTTCCTTTTCCAAATTTCATTCTTGCTCCCCTTCTTTGCTTTGGCTTTTCTCTCCTCACTCCCCTGCCAATTTCCTTCCCATCTCACCCCCAGTTCTTGTCCCTCTCTCCTTCCCTTCCCTCTCCACACCTCTATCTCATGCTCTCTCTCCTTGGATCACACATTTCTGTAAGGCTCTTCTATTGTTCTGACTTCTCCATCACTCTTTGGCCATTCCCTTTTCCAGCCGTCATTACCACCATCCATCCCCCAGCAGAGCAGAGATAAAATCCCCCTTACCATCTGTAGTTCCGGGGCTGGTTTCCCCTGTTGGGCTCATGGCCTCTCCGAGATCAGTGACTTCAGGTTTCACATGTAGTCACCAGCACGGGGATGCTGAGCTGAGGAGGAGGTGGCCAGACACAAACAGGGAGCATATAAAGTCTCTGCTGGGACTGGCAAGCAGCACTGGAGTTTGAGGAACCCCACTGAGTGGGCACAAGGGGAAGCTGAGGTTTTGCTGCCTCTTGCATTACTTCTTATCACATGGGAAAAATATTGAGAAGTGAGCATAAAATGAAACTAAAATGAGCCAAAAATAAACCTCAAAGGTATAGAGAGAAGGAGTTAGTGTAGAGTAGCTGGTGCACTGTAAAGTCACACTGTAGCTTGGTATGCACTAACTTCTCCATGTGGACAACGACTAAATGTGTCTGGACTGCTGGAGGTGCTGGAGTGTATTGAAGAATGACTATTATACACCTGGTAGTGGGACCTCGTAGGCTGCTGAGCCAACAGTCTCCTCCTGCAGGCCATGAATCTCTGTGTGGAGCCCCGAATTGGAATACAAGGAGGACCACAGGGCAGGACTGAGGGGCATTGGCAGAGCTGGGGCCCAGGCTATGGGAGGATGAGCGAGAGCCATGCTCCCCAATATGAATGAGGGAGACTGGTTAAGATTTCATCCCGGAACATTGGGGAATTTGAACTTTGCAGAAGGTTGAGCTTGGTGCCCAGGAGTAAACCAGCTTAGGTTCTGTTATGTGACTTTATTAAGATACAGTAAAGACATAAATAGATATAGCCACAAAGTGTCCATACATGAAAGGTAACTTCACAGTATTAAGAGAAAAAAAAGGAGAGAACCATCTACACGGCATCAGACATTCATCCTCTAAATCCATTAACAGGATGGACACCCCTTCAAGGCAAGTGGTGGAAACTGTATTGCTCAATGACAGGCTTCAGAGTAGCAGCCGTGTTAGTCTGTATCCGCAAAAAGAAAAGGAGGACTTGTGACACCTTAGAGATTAACAAATTTATTAGAGCATAAGCTTTCGTGAGCTGTTCAAACTGTTGACAAGAATCAGGGACCATAATTCTTACAGTTTGGTGTTTTTTAAAGAGGTTTTACAGCCCTTCTGCTCACACAGCAGTTATGAGTATCAGACAATAATAAATATTATAATAGCTATTCACTGTACTGCTTAGGCTTTGTCTACACTGCAAATACAGCCAGATTAGAGGGCCCAGATAAAACAGGAATGTCTCCCAACAGAGTGTCAGCAGGGCTCGATCTTGTTGATTTCAATTGTGGGCTTGTCTCCATGAGAAAACAGCACCAGTTTAACTAAATGAGATTAGACGCTTGTAGGCATATATGTGTGCATGGCCATCCCTCATTGTCAATCTCCCAGGGAGGCCACGCATCTTTTCCATCACACACCTAGAACAGCAGTCTGTAAAAGGGGGAAGTTAACTGTCTCTAGGGCTCAAATCCTTAGACTGTAGAGAGTACTGAATAGTCTATAAGCCTAGGCCCGGAGGCAGGGCAGGGCACCAAACAGATTGGAGGTTCAGACATGAGGCCAGGCAGAGCAGTAAATAGTCTATGAGCTCAGGCAGGGCAGGGCACCAAATAGTCTAGGGCCTCAGGAGGGTTTCTCTGACCCATGTGGTGGGGCAGAGCATCAGACACTCTATTGCCTGATGCACTGGCTCAGGCAGACAGCAGACAAACACAGGTCTCTTGGCCTATGGTGGGGAGGCTGCCACCCCCAGGGTGGGATTGCAGAGGGACCTAGGCCCACTCAACTCCACCAGCCCCAACAGTGGCAGCATGTTCCACTACTGGGTCAGCAGGGATCCAGCCACAGCACGCTGACCTTGGTTCAGGCAGCAACACGCCAGACTGGAGTCAGCTGTTCCTGGGTCACTTCTTCTCCTCCCCTCCGGGTGTACCTGAAACCCAGGGTCAACCTTCATCTCCTCAGTGCTGGCTGGGTCTGGCAGCTCAGAAGAGTCCTCAGGACAGCAGATCTCTGCTCCTGACCCAGCAGCAGAGTGGAAGCACCTGTCTCCCTCAGCAGCTCCAGCCCAACTGGATGACAGGGCCTGCCTTTTATACTTCCTGTTCCGGTGTCACCCCTCTGCTTCCAGTGTGGTGGGTGTAGCCTTCCTAGTTCCACCCACCAGCAGGTGTTTGGCCGTCCCTTCCTGTCAATCTCCGAGGGAGGCCATGTCTCTTTCCTACAACATTGACTGGGTTAAACTGGTGCAACCCCTCCTTGTGAACACTCTTATTTCTGGATAAAGGAGCCGTACAGTAATTTAGGTTAGGTGATTTCTCACTGACTTGATATAAAGCATCAGTCCTAAACCTAAAAGCCTCCACACAGGAGGGTTGCACCAATGGAACTTTAAACTGTTTGTAAACCTATGTAGTTCAGTCAGCCCAATTCCATGTATAGACAAGCCCTTGTCCCTGAGTGACGTTAAAGTGTTGGACCATTCAAGGGTTTTAGCATTGCTCAGGGACATGGACAAAGCCCCATCTCAGTTACAAGGGGGAAATGAGTTGTAGCAGAGTCAAGGGGAAAGAAGGTCAGACCAAGTTAATTTTGCAGCATGGACAGGACCTTATTCTTGGTAAGTTGTTACCTTGACCAGGACTGGGAAGGTTAATATGAACAGGAAACCCCCTTTCAACATTTCCCAGGGCAAACCCACTGGTCCTGCCTTTTCCAGCCTGCCTCCTCCACCAGTCTCCTGGGAGCTTCAATGACATCGCAGGCAGAGCTCATTGCACTTTGGCTTTTTCCAGTTAGATATTTTCAGCAGTTTTCAGATTTTTCCAAAATTGATCTAGTGAGTGAGTTTGGGCCCCAACATCATCCTCCACCACCTAAGCCCAATGTCATGATAGCCCAGGGCTGATCCAAACCCTCCCACCAGATCTCTCTGGGAGCTGACCCAAGCGAGAGATAGGCGGACTCTCCAGACTCCCATCCAGGATGGGGGTTCTTCCTCAAAATCTAAGCACTGCAGTCTCACAAATTCGATGAAATGTATTGGAACAAGGAATGTTATTCCAATTCCTGTTAACAAATTCATTTTGTTCTCCCGACACATACATGACAGCACAGTTCTCATTGGTGTGATGACTGGGTTCCCCAGGTCTCCAGAACCTGTAAAAGAGAGAAGCTCGTGTGTTAGAGATGCATCATTATAAACATTGCAGGGGAAAGAGTTGTAGCTGGCGATGATAAGAGGAGAAGGAGAATTGCAACACTTGAATCAGCCACAAACACTCCTCTTCTTCAGTTCTCTAAAATTCATTCATAGCCTCTATCCATGTTCCCTTTGTAAATCTTCTCTCTATTAGACCAGATATAGTTAGTTCCAGTCGTGGGTAAGGTGCTCACACACACACACACACACACTACTTTGTATACTAACCCTGGAACTATGTGGAGGATGGTAAGTGGTCTCCATCCCAGGAAATACTCACGCTGCAGTATTGTTATATGGAGTCCCATCCACCCAGCGCCACTGTCTTTTCTTCTCCTGATCAGTCAGACCAATACAGTAATTCCTTTGTTGGTGGCCTGTAACTGTTCCATTTACCCGAGTGAAGATGAAATCCTGGATTAAAATAAAATAAAATCTCCACCAGGTGCAGTCCCTGGGCAGACAGTAGGAGACGGGGGTCCCTGTGGGGTGTGGTGGTGCTGGATGTGTAGGATGAGGAAGCCCAGGACTGAATGAACACAGAGCCCAAACATCCTCTTCAGGGCTACACTCTGAGTGCCCAGAGGAGCCTGAGTCTCAGCAAGTTACCTGCTCAGCTCTTGTGTTGATCACCACCAGGTGGGAGCCCATCCCTGTGCAGTTCCTCTCACTGTCATCCCAGGTCATCAAGTCTTTCGAGAAGTAGTAGCAGCTGGCCTGAAAGGGCTCCCAGCCCTTGGGGCAGCACATCCAGACTTGCTCTGTGAGGGGAGAGAAGAATGAAACATGGAAAATAAAAATGGAAAGGACTCGTTAGGTGACACCCAGTTCAGTCCCCAGGGCCAGTACAGGGTAGGTCCATCCAGTTCATCTTCATTCCACACATATCTCAAGCAATGGGGACTGACTAACAGAGGCCTTCATGGTGAGGAAATGATTCACGACCAGCAGCCTGAATTATTTTTTCTCCTACTTGGTCTTTTTTATACCTAATTCTTCCCCCTAAATCCCTCCTGGTCAGTTCTTTCCCTCATTGTGCTTGCCCCCTGGAGGCACTGGTAGACCATTAACACACACTAACTAGTTCTGTGCTGGACTGTTTCCCTTCCTGCTTATGTGCTTGCTCTGGCAGCCTCTCCCTTAGTGTCTCCTCCTTCACCTTCTCCCCCTCTGTCCTTTTCCTTCAGAGTTCCTCACTCTTCTCACTCCACACCCCACCCCTAGATGACCTCATCCACTTCAATGGCTTCATGTGTTGTCTCTGCTATGACGTTTTCTCTCACCCTTACGAACCATTCATTCCCACCTCTCTCCATTCGATTCATGAGCTCCCCTAGAGAAAGCCTCCTCTGCTCCCGTCTATATCATAAATAAGAATTTCAGTATCCCTCACTTAGACCTGTAATCTTTGTATATACAGTATTTAACTCCTCTGTCTCTCCCTCCTTTATCCCCAAATCCATCCTGCTGCTCAACACTGCCAGTCCTTTTTCTCTCTCCATTGCTACTGCCAAATCCTCAGTCCAAGCTGTGGCCATCTCTCTGTAATCTTGACTGCTGCACCTACCCCTCTCTGGTCTCCCCAAGTTTCATACTGTGTCCCTTATATATAATATTGCTGCCATTTCATCTCCCTATCCTTTCCCACTTGAGTCTCCACATTGGCTTTGTTATTCTGCTGGGTCAGATTCAAACCCCTCACCCTCACCTTCAGGGGCCTCCACAACTCTGCCCCTATCTCCATCTCATCTATAGTTGCTTTCTACTCCTACATTCAGCCACTTCAGCTTATCTCATCACTCTCCTGGTCTTCTTCCACAAATATCTCTGCACCTTTTGTCGCTGTGTCCTCGAAACCTAGACTATCCTACTTGACCTCCATGGGCTCCTGTCGCAAATCACTCCTCAAAACTCATTCCTTTTAGTCAGTCTTCCACCGTTGCTC